TCATTTGAAAAGGACTCCGCTCAAGGCTTGTAAGCCCTCTGGCCACTTCCCTAGATACATGTCTACATATCATTGCATGCCAGGCCCCTGCGGGGAGCAGAGATAGGAGAGCAAGCCGCTAACCCCGTGTATGTTGGCAGAGGGCGAGATTCCCTAATACCTCTCCCCAGGCATCCCGATTCTGAAAATGCTTCCGCAGATAATTCTGAAAGTGAAGTGCCGCACACAGATTCTTGGGGTCAAGTTACAATTTATATTTTCCTGCTAATGGGTTTGAGAGCTTTTCTTGAGAGCAGATTTTCAAAGTTACAAAATATAACTGAAGCGAGAAGAGAATAAAGGTCTGTAACTGGAAGGCCAGGGATAAGTGCTTTGCAGTTTGGCAGAGGGCAGTGCTGACCTCACAAATACAAATGCATGTAGTGACGGTTCATGAATATCTTTCCTCACCTATCTGGTACAATAAAAAACATATATTTTTAATTATAGGACGTCTTATCACAGTTCTGTTTTTGTAGAAGTCATGTGCTTTTATGGTCACTCTGAATCAAGGGGAGATCAAACGAGATACATTTTCTGAATCTTTATTCCAACTCTTAAAATCATAAGCACTAATCTATACCTTGTATTGCTCATGATGATAATATTAATGTTTATTCCATTTATTTGTTGATTGCCAAAGTTTTTCTTTTAAATCTTTTGATTTAACACGGGAGTGTGTTTTATTTACAAATTAGTATATGTGTGTTTGTCTACAAGTGTGTGTACATATTATGTGTATGGTACAGTTTAATTTGAATGCTCTATACCACTCTGTCTACCTACTTATCTACCTACCATCTATATTTAGTGGCTGCCTGCTTTTTTTTGTGGGTATTCATGATAATTTATTTAAGTAAATTCCTATTAAAAATAATATAATAAAATTTTGTGCTGAAACTGGTTTGGCTTGCCGAAACAGGTTTGGCTCAGTGGATAGAGCATCAGCCTGAGGACTGAAAGGTCCCAGGTTTGATTCCAGTTAAGGGCATGTACCTTGGTTGCTGGCACATCCCCAGTAAGGAGTGTGCAGGAGGCAGCTGATTGATGTTTCTCTCTCATCGATGTTTCTAGCTCTCTCTCTCTCTCCCTCTCTGTAATAAATCAATAAAATATATTTTAAAAAGAAATCTGTATTATACAGGATGAGGCAAAAGTAGGTTTACAGTGGTGAGTATATGAAACACAAAATTTATTCTTATACTAGAGGCCTGGTGCACAAAATTTGTGCATGGGGAGAGATGTGTCCCTCAGCCCAGCCTGAATTCTCTAGCAATCCGGGACTCCTCAGGGGATGTCAGGACTAAACCGACAGGTGGACATCCCTCTCGCAATCTGGGATGCTACATGCACCAGTGACCATACTTTTCATACAGGTGAAAGGCATCTTGCTGTGTTTGGGCAGCTACATTTTTTGCCCTGATTATAAAAAGTAGTATATAACATGATCCTCTGAGGCAGTAATAGTACCATTTCCCCATCTTATGGGCAGAAAAACTGAAGCAGTGATAAGAAATTGGCTTTGCCACACAGTGATGTGTCAGAATCAGGGCAAAGTGTGCAAGCCAGAGTCCATGCCTGTCATCGCTGCATCATCCTATTTGTTCAGTGCTAGAGTAGCCTTGCCAGGTTTTAATTTTTAAGCCTAAGAGTCTGTTTTTAATATATAGCGTAGGGTCCCTAGGACTGGCCTGCGAACAGGGCCATCTGTGGGGCAACTGGTGGGCAGAGTGATTGCTCCCCCACCCCCCCACCACTGGCACCTGCCTTGGTTGGTTAATTTCTGCCATTGGTTGCTTCTTTCTCTCCTGCATTGAGCATTTTCCCCCTGGTGGTCAGTGCATGTCATAGCGAACAGTTATTTCACTTTTGACCTTTTGGTAGATTTGCATGTTAGCATTTTATTATGTAGGATTATCATTTATTAATTATTGTAGTGCTTTTCATACGAACTACTGTAAACCTACTTTTGCCCTACCCTGTACATGCTGTTACGTGTATCTTGTGAATGTATCTAATTTTTCCTTAGAATAAATTTCAAATATAAAATTCTGGATCAAGGTCTTAGCTTGTTAAAGTTTTTTATACCTAATGAAAAAAAAAAACAGTTTGTAGTATATTTCACACATCCACAAAAATATTTGCTATGAGCCATGTTAGACATTGACAACTGGAAACACTGGGGACAATATGTCAGATTATTGTTTTCTCATTTCTTTGATTACTAGTGTGCTTGGATATACTTTTCATATCATGTTGGGCACTTATTCCTTTGTGTGTGTGTGTGTGTGTGTGTGTGTGTGTGTGTGTATGAATTTTGTTTCTCAGCAGGTCTTTCCATAAAATGTTGGGGGTTTTCTTTCTGATTTATAAAACACTTTATAAATTAAAGATATTAATTCATTGTCTGTCATGTTTATATTATACCTCTTCCAAGTTGTTATTTGTTTTGGTGGTTTCCTTAGCCACCCAGGAGTTCTACATTTTATGTAGAGTGTATTTTAGTAGTCAGTAATAGATTCTTGGTGCAAATATTGCATAAACATTAAATATTCTAAATATAAAGCTATTTATTTATATCAGGCATGCAGGACCATTATTCCATTCAGTATTCTACAATAACTGTCATTAGATCCAGAGTTTAAAAAATTAGAATAAGTCAAAACACAGAAAACATGTCTAGATGATCTGGCCTACTTTTCAAAGTTATAAAGGAAACAACCTCCTGATATACCATTCCCTTGCATCAAGAATTTCTTTGTGATTTGAGAGTTTCACACCCATTATCTAATTCATCACTACCACTTTTTTTCTTTCCAGAAGAAGAGTAGGCACATTTATGAACCTTCATTGGAGAGGAAGAAACTGCAGCATAGTGAGATTTCTTTGCATGACCCAATCATTCCACAGACCAGCATTAAGAGAAAAAAAATCCTTCTCCCCTCTCCAAATTCTTCTAAATCTATTTCTCTGCCTCTGCTCTGGACTTAGCTACTAACAGCTGGGGTTTTAGTTATCAGTCAACTCCTTAGATTCCAAGGGTCAATAGCATAAAGTACATGGGATTGGCAATATTCCTGAGCAGACTGGGAGAACACAGCACAGATGACCCCAGGATGCAGGAGGTAAAATAAAATAATTACAAAATGCTGGGATGTAAGCCATCCCTCAGTATGAACATGAATACAATTCTTAACATTTCAACCACCCAAGTGTGAAAATTGTAAGATAGCCCTCTGGGTGCAGTCCCAGAGCAAGAGAACATAGAGAAGCATAAAACACAATCTTCCCTTGAAGTCACTCCCATTAATGAAATGTCACCTACCGAGTACTTAATTGTATGGAAGACTGTGCTAGGAAGAGTGCTGGTTTCCACCTTTGAGGTTTAACACAAATCCAATTTATAAAATAATGAATGTGAACAAGAAAAAGAAAGAATCTCTCCTCGAGTCCTTCTTGACTCTGTAAACAGACTACCAGCTGGCTTGCAGGAAGAGCCAGCTGTGAGTTTCTACAACTAAAAGCCCCCAAAACATGGTTCCCTCTGAAGCAAAAGACAGTGAGTTCAGATAAAACATTGGTGTTTACTTAAATAAGTGTCCCTTCATTTCAGCTGTTGATCCTAACCTATTATGACTCAGTAGGACCATTTCTTATTGTAATCATCATTTTATTTTCCAAGTTCATATTTAGAGCTTTAGCATAATTAAAATAAATGGATCCTAGAATATATGTCCAGAGTTGTTATGAGAATTAAAAAACTTTCCTGGAGTGCACAGGCCAGGGTCTACCATGTGTGGTGCTTAATAAATGTGCATTCTATTTTCCTTCCTCTCTCTCCCTCTCTCTTTTTGTGTAAACTTGATTGAATATTTCTATCTTTAGAAGTTTATTTCTCTGTTAGGCTGTTCTTATTATTTTCCTTATGTGGAAAATAATAAGGTAACTACTGGTTATCTATTCACATAGGACTAAAGCTATATACGGCAACTTCTTGCTATTTCCTCTCTGAAATCAATAAAAATATTTTAAAAATATTTATTTAGATATTTAAAATATTTTTATTGATTTCAGTGAGGAAGGGAAAGGCAGAGAGAGACAGAAACATTAATGATGAGAGAGAATCATTAATGGGCTGCCTCCTACATGCCCCACACTGAAGTTTGAGCCCCCAACCCAGGCATGTGCCCTGACTGGAATAGAACCATGGCCTCGTGCTTCATAGGTCAATGCCCAACCATTGTACCACACTGGCTGAGCTGATCAGATATTTTAATGAGGTTCTGAGAGATACCATTTATTTACTTCTTTATGCCTCCTATTACCACATTCATGCCCAACCTAACACACACATTTTTAAATCCAATCTCTATGCTCTTCTCATTTTACTACACATCTCTTGCAAGCCAACATTTTAAAATCTATTAGCTTGCACTGAATTAATTGGAATAAATTCATTTTCCTTCTGGACAGTGCTTGGCATATTGGCTAAATAAAGACTAATGCTTTAAAATACTTGTAGATCTGTTTCACAGAGAAATAACAAGATATAATATAATATGAACATAGAGATGAACCAATAACCTATGTAAAATCACTTAAATTGTTTGACCCTAACTTTATCATCTGTAAAGTGGAATTGAATATATCTGTGCTTATTTATCAAATTTATTTTTAGAATAAAACAAGGTAATGAATGGGAGATTATTTCAGATGCTATAACTGAATAACAAACCACCAAAACATTTGTCAGTATAAACATTTTCTAAGGCTACAGAGTCTGTTGGTTAGGAATGAATTATGGAGAGACTCAGATGGAAATGTTTGCTTGGGATCTCTCTGTGGCTGAAACGAGTTTCTAACTGGTTCTGTAATTATCTGAATGCTCTACCTTTCTGAATGTTTGCTGGAATAGTCCTTTGGAGTCCTGAAACTCCATGTAAAAATTCTGCTATTCTGAGGCCACCGTGCTAAGAGGAAGCTCAGGCCACATGTTGGTGCCCTGGTTTGAGGTCCCAGCTGATCCCCAGGTAATTGTGGTTTTGATATATTCACAGGGTTTGCTGTTGATTCTGGATTACAGCTGGAATTTCAGTTGAGGCTGTTTATTTGAGCACCTACCAGTGGCCAATGCATGTGGCCTGAGCTTCCTCACAGAGAACTTAAACTTCTTGTATGGTGGCTCAGGAGTCTAAGCACAAAAAATCCGATCAGAAGACCGAGGCTGCATAATCTCTTACATCCTTGCCATGAAACATAGCTTCTGAATTCTTTTCTCAATCTCATTAAAAGTGTTCATAATTGATTCATTGAGATCTTTAAACCTAAAAAGGACCGAACAGTGTAAAACAGGACAAATGCACTGTTTGTCTAAAGAAAACCAGTGTTAACAATATATCATAAAAGGCTAATATGCAAATTGACCAAACAGTGGAACTACTGGTCACTATGACACACACTGACCACCAGGGGGCAGATGCTCAATGCAGAAGCTGACACCTGGTGGTCAGTGCACACCCACAGGGGGAGAGCTACTCAGCCAGAAGCCAGATTCATAGCTGGCATGTGCAGCAGTGGTGGCAGGAGCCTCTCCCTGTGGGGAATGGGACTAAGACCATGGTCGGCACCCCCGATCCACATGTGGGTCTTTGGCCCCTTGAGTGTGGCTCTTCCACAAAATACCATGGCCTATTTTGAAGAAGTTGTGTTAGAAGAAGTTTAAGTTTTAAAAATTTGGCTCCCAAAAGAAATTTCAATCATTGTTGATATTTGGCTCTGTTGACTAGTCGAATTGCTGACCACTGGCCTAAGCCTTCAGTCAGACATCACCCGAGGAGGGTATGGGCCCAGATGAAGGACCTGCCTCCTTTCCAAGTGCATGAATTTCATGCACTTGTGCTCTCATTTTAATATAAATTTAGAAGCACTAAAAACTGGAAAGCACTGACACTAAACTTGGCTAACTCAGCAGCCACTCTCCCTTCTTGGCAGCTGGAAGAATTTCCATTTTTTTCAGTTCCTCTCCAATAATTTGTTAACTTATCAAGTGGATGGATCCTGGTACTACCGTGTTTCCCCGGAAATAAGACATCCTCCGAAAATAAGACCTAGCTCATGGGAAGATAAGACATCCCCTGAAAATAAGACCTAGCGCAACTTTGGGAGAAAAAATTAATATAAGACACTGTCTTATTTTCGGGGAAACAGGGTAGTTTGGGTCTATACATAATGTAATTTTGGTTACATAAGAAAAGGTTACTGGAGAGCATGTATATAAAAAGTGTTTCTTAGTTGTTCAGTCAGAAACATGAGACTTTCCATTTCTAACTCTAAAAGGGACAATGTGAGGAGTGTTCTCTGGAACTGTGGCATGATACTGAACAAGGAGATCTATCCCCCAAAAATCCAGCTCTTTAAGACACAGATAAGACAAATGAAAGAACTTGGGGCTTTAGTAGCATCATGAGTCATCACATTAACTAGCCTTTCTCTGTTTCTAATCATTAAAGTGAAATTTGGCATGAGGCTAGATAAAGTAGCCATCTGGGAAGATCCCAAGGAGCATTAGAGAAAGAATGAAAGAGGGGGGGAAATGAACCACTTATTGATTTAGCTAATTTTAGTTGGATTTTCTATTAGCTATAGTTAAAAGTATCCTAACTTATTTAGGGACTTTAAAGGTTAACTAGCCCAGCCCACATAAAGAAAGTGAAAAATATTAAATTGCAAACCACATAGGTACTTTCTCTCTCTCATTTTCTCTCTCCTCTCTTCTCCCTGTCTTTTTTCCTCCCCTCTTTCTCCACCATCTTTTTCTCTGTCTCTCTCTCTCCCTCGCTCACTCCCTCTCTCTTTCTCATACAACCCAATCCTACATACTCATTCAGTATTTACACAATTGTGTTTTCATTAGGGCCAGAATAAAACCAAGGCTGAGTACTACTGACTCAACTGAGTGCCCAGGTTGCTCAACACATTGACAGTCAAGTTAATCATTAGCTATTTAGAATTGTTCTCTTATATTGTAAGTTCCAGAAATTTTAGATAATGACACTATAAAAAGTGTTTGGATTTTTATGCAAAAAAAATTTTATTTGGGGTACATTAAATTCAGGATTTAATATATACAATGAAATTGAATGTTCACATAAAGTATATTCTGAAAAATGGAAGCCAATGAATAGATACTATTTTAATAGCCATTCATTTCTAAAATAGAAGATCCTATGGGCTTAATAAATACAACATATTATTGAATAATAAAGTGGCTAATTCGTTTTTTGAGTTTAAAGTGCTGTGTTGGCACATGAAAACTAATTACTGATTATATGCAGCCTTGAATTAAATATATTTTCACATGCTCTTTTGATGATTGTAAACCTAAAATCACAAGAGGTTGCAGGCAATTCCCTAGCATCCAGATTTAAAGCATTTAGTCAGAAAATGATTTTATTATTTAATATATGTATAGTTTTCCCCTCAAGCATAATTAGCAACAAATATAATATTAAATCTTTAAGTAATACCTTATGTTTAATGTTTTCCAAAATTATGCACCATGGAGTCTACTCTAAATCTGAATATAATCTATTAGCTGTAGTGTTTTCTTTAACACTAGCAAAATTCTGGCAATTATTTCTCAGAACATACAGCTGGTTGAGTTTAAATTCTATACATATGCTCTGGATCAATATGAATACAAGCACAAAAACTTGAATAAAAAAGAAAGAAATCACTTAATAGTATATAATTTGCAATGACAATGGGAAAACACATGACATTAATCAAATAAATATACCTGCTTCATGAAAAAAAATACTATTTGCAAAATTGGCATTTATTTTTGTAATATCTATATCTATCTATCTATATCTATATCTATATCTATATCTATATCTATATCTATATCTATATCTATCTATCTATCTATCTATATATATATATATATATATATATATTCAGTCTTCAAAAGCTGGAGTTACCCTGCCTATAGCCTTTTTCTCCCCAAGGAGCCGCTTGATAAAAGAATGTAACCATTTGTCAATAGTAAAAGATGAAAGAAAAAAAAAGAAAAAAAATAATGCATTCCTCTCATTCTTTGTCTAACTCTCTTTGGCACCTTCACAGATGGCTAATTTATCTAGGCTCATGCCAAATTTCACTTGAATAATAATATTCAGGTAAAGAGGGAGGGGATAGAGAGAAAGAAAGAGGGAGAGAGGGAAGAATGGAGGGAAGCAGAGAAGGAGAAATAGTTCTCTGTTATTAATGACACTACCTTGGAATATAATTTTAATGTAGGCAACTATGTCAAAAAAGCAAATGTGTCTGAGGTCATTTATAATTATAACTTTTCCACAATCTGTAACAACCTGTCTGTCTGTGTACATCTTTGCTCCTAATTACCTAATACTATAAGCTTTTTTATCTGTATCTTTTCTTTTAATCTCCTGCTCAGAGAAACAATTGATGATTCTATAATCATTTATTCATTCATTACAAGCAAATATATCCTCCTATATAATAAAGAGGTGATATGCAAATTGACCATCACTGAAACACACAAGATGGCCATCCTGATGTGGTCAAAGATGGCCACTCCCATGTGGACACAAGTTGGCTAGCAGGGGAGGGCAGTTTTGAGGGACCAGGCCTGAAAGAAAGGCCAGTTAGGGGCATCCAGGCCTGCAGAGGAGGAGAATTGGGGACAATTGGGCTAGCAGGGGAGTAGTGAGGCATCAATCAGGTTGGCAGGAAAATGGTTAGGGGGTGATCAAGCTGGCATGCAGAAGTGGTTAGGGGGAATCAGGCAGGCAAGCGGTTGGGAGCCAGCAGTCCTGGATTGTGAGAGGGATGTCCTACTGCAGTTGGACATCCCTTAAGGGGTCCCAGATTGGAGAGGGTACAGGCTGGGCTGAGGGACACACCCTCACACATGAATTTCATGCACTGGGCCTCTAGTGCAACTAATAAATATTAATAAAACATATATTTTCTACTGCACAAAAAAGTGCATTCTGAAATGTAAAGTAATGGTCCCCTGAAGAGTTGGAGCACATACTTCTTTAATGTTGCAGGTAGAACAAGTGTCAGAGAGAGTTCTCCTATTCCTGTTTCCTTCTTCACCCCAAGATTCTTCTTCACCCACCTCCACTTCTGTTTTTATATTTTACCCTGAATTCCAGGGCTGCTTAGATAGTTGTTTTATTTGTACAGAATTTGAATTTTTTTTCACTCAAAAGAAACTCTTGTCTTAAAACAGTGGACCTAGGTAATTCTGAATAATGGCATTCTGTAACATTAAGTCCTTTGTTCACAAAATTTTATACTTAAAAAGTTGCTATGCAACCTCTACTTTGTATTATCACTCCTCAGTCCTATTTCAGTGTGCCCCACAGATCATTTATCTTTAAGACCACAGCTTTTCTGCTACATGCTATTAACCCTTTATCCTTTTTTTAAGTAGAAGCATTTGTTTCAGCTGGGAGATTCTGTAGTCCTTGGTAGCTTGCTAAGCAACCCAGCAGTCTAAGCAGTGAGGGCTGACCAGGCCTGTTCTGCTGTTTGGGACCTAGAATGCCACAGCAACACTGACAGAGGTGATATTGACAGGAACAATAATAGGAGCCATGACAACTAAAGATTGTAATGCTTGGAAAAGGTGCCAATCTTTCTCATTATTTTCAGAAAATACATTCTCATTTTGAAAACTGCCTTTCTGACTCCAAATGGACATTACACAAATGTTCCATCTGACTTCACACACACACACACACACACACACACACACACACACGCACCCATGCACGCACGTGAGCTTAATTATTTTTCTTATATAATTCACAAGTAAAAAATGCCAACAACTGAGCAGAGATTGGCCTTTGGAAAAAGCCATGTAGTCTATTATAAATTCAGTTAAGATAACAGCAAAAAGACTGAGAAGACTATAATTGAGCTGTGAATAAAACCAAATAAATGGAATTGCTTCTTTATTCCGTTTGTCCCTCCAGTAGAGCATAGCCTTCACTTTGAGATGCCATCTGAAAAACGACATAGGCAGAGATGAATTAAATAAAAAGTTTAAAAATTTTAATGGAAAAAAATAATTTTTAAGATATTACATTTTAGTATTCTGCTTGATTAAATAACCATAATGTATTAGAAAAGCATAAATATGCATAACTATGTGGGTTTCTTTTCTGTATCCATTACCATTTTTAGTGAAGTCAGTATTTAAAGTTTTTAAAGTTTATAGTTGGAAATTCACAATAAACTTCATAAAAACTGAACCACTCCTTATATAATTTAAATATTTTGCACCATTGAAATATGTCTCACAGTGTTTGTAATTTGATGGATAAAAAGTATAAGTTTACTAACTCAGTTTCCAGTTGTAAAATATCTCAATCTCATCAATCCCTGTGTTGACTGAATCCTTTATTTCTTACAATCAATCTTTCTTTGCTGATAAGCATATCTCTGTCCTTAAAACTAACCTTTTGGCAGAAGATCAGATAATATGCAGGTACAAATATTTTTCTCACAGTATTCTTGTCATAAGTAGCAAAAAACAAAATAACTAAAATTCTTTATTGCTTCCAAAGTAAGTGCTTTTTTCACATAAAAAAAGTGACTTGATCTTTTGGAAGAACTCATAAATAAAATTGTGCACTGACTATACCTACATAGTAATAGTACATTTTTAATACTAAACTATGAGAATCTATAAACAATAATTAGATTTTGTTTTCATAAGAAATGATGATGCCTACAAATCCATTAGAAAATACAAACAACACACTGAGTGAACAACTCATAGTAAAATAAACCCCAATACTCTAACAGAATATTTTAGTGAACTTTTATCCCCATCCATAGATTTGGCATAGGGGTCAAATTGTCACTGTAAAGCAGGTTTGGAAAATAGTGTGAAGGAAAACCTGCATTTGCTAGTGTTAGTCTATCACTCACAGAAAGGTCATATAAAGACTTAGATGCTGAAAATAAGTAGGACATGGAAATTAGAAAGCATTGCTTTGCTGAAAGTGGTGCCATGGTATTCAGAGCTACAGAGCACTTTCATAGTTGAGGAACATTAAGGCTGGTGGTATCAGACCAATCTCTAATCTACATATATAAAAGCCTAAGCAAATGGCCAGCCTGTCTACCAGTCAGTAGCTATAATGTGCACTGACCACCAGGAGGCAGATGCTCACCAGGGGGCAAAAGCTGCAGAGCTGTGGTCAATTGGTAGCTGCAATTCTTGGGTGTCGCAACCAAAACCAGAGAGGAGGAAACCTGATCCTAAGGTGTGTCACCCAAGAACAGCCATCTCACAATCTGGAACCCCTCAAAGGATGTTGGAGAGCTGGTTTTGGGCTGATTCCTTCAGGCCAGGCTGAGGAACCTCACCAGTGCACAAATCTGTGCACTAAGCCTCTAGTATTGAAATAACTATGTATAGTACCAGATGAATATTAGTCTTATTGGGGTGTCTAATCACTATGTTGTACACTGAAATTAATATTATGTTGTTACCTGAAGCTAATATAATATTGTATATCAACTATACATGAAAAATAAATTTTAAAAAGATCTAAAAAAAGAAAAAAGTGAATAACTTAGACTGTACTGTCTAGCTGTAATTCTAAGGAATTGCTTTGGGTACAATCTGGACTTTAAAATTGTGTCAGGGTGGAAACCATAAATATGAAGATGGTCATTGAGAGGAGCACTGTACTCCAACAAGGAGACTATGCTAAATGTCACCCAAAATCAAGATCTGAGATTTCAAGTCATAAGATGTATTTATTATATGAGAGTGATCTAAGAGACCCTGGTCTTGCCTTAGATTTTTATCCAGAGATTAGGAAAAGAAGCCTACATTTGTGTGTTTTCTCTTTGCTCTCAATTCTCATTTGGAGAAATGAGAGCAAAGAGAAAGTATCTTTATCAATATACCATACTGGGTTATAGTTTTTCATAAATATTATAAATATATGAAATAAAGATAATTTTTACTACTAATCAAAGATAAATATACTAAAACTATTTTTTCAATATGAATTATTACTATTTTTATTAAGGTATTATATGTGTATAGAATTTACCATTGCCCTACCCACCCACCCCTCTCGCACACATACCCTCACCCCCAATGTTTTGCATCCATTGGTTATTCTTATATGCATGCATACAAGTCCTTCAGTTGATCTCTTATCTCCCCCACCTGTTCCCTAACCTTCCTTCTGTAATTTGAGTCTGTTTGATGCTTTACTGCCTCTATATCTATCTTTTTGTTCATCAGTTTATAATCTTTATTATCCACAAATGAATGGGATCATGTGGTGTTTTTCTTTCATTGAGTGGCTTATTTCACTTAACATAATGTTCTCAAATTCCATCCAGGTTGCTGCAAATGGTAAGAATTCTTTCTTTTTATGGCAGCAGAGTATTCCATTGTGTAGATGTACCATGGTTTTCTGATCCAGTCATCTGCTGTAGGGCACCTAGGCTGTTTCCAAATCTTAGCTATTGTAAATTGTGCTGTTATGAACATAGGGGTGCATATATCCTTTCTGATTGTTTCTGTTTTCTTGGGATATATTCTTAGAAGTGGGATTACTGGATTATATTGGAGTTCCATTTTCAGTTTTTTGAGGAAACTTCATACTGTTCACAGTGGCTACACCAGCAGTGCATGAGGGTTCCTTTTTCTCCATATCCTTGCCAACACTTGTCTTTGTTGATTTGTTGATGATAGCTATTCTGACAGGTGTGAAATGGTACCACATTGTTGTTTTGATTTGCATCTTTCGGATAATTAGTGACTTTGAGCATGTTTTCATGTGTCTATTGGCCTTCCTTCTGTCTTCTTTCGAAAATATTCTATTTCAAATGTGCAGAAAATCTATAATCTTGCACTATCAACTGTTGACAAGATTTTGGAGAAATGAGGATTATTATCTACTACTGTTGGTAGTATAAGTTGTTAGAGTAACTGTACATTAGCAGGTAGCAAAATTCATATCTTCACCCAAATATCAAACTAAGCTATTTTACAATACATGTAGGGTCTTCTACATGTGAAAAGGAGACATTTTACAAGAATTCTTATTACAGTAATATTTGGGAACAAATAAAATGTACATCTAGTATAATGGTAAATTACAAAGTAGATGATGGAAAGGTATATCATGGTTAAAAATAATGTTACATAAATACATATTTATTTAAACAAAATATAGAAATGTGATGCTGCAAAAATATTTGCCAAGATACATGAATAATTAAAATAATTATGAAATTTTAAAACAGAAATGAGATTATGCTAATGAATTCATTTGTATGAATGTAGGTAAAAGAATAAACACAAGGAACTTTACGGGTATATAGTAAACTCAAAAGAGTGTTCTGTGTTGGTAAAAAGTGTCTTTGACGGCCTATATACTGGTTGACTGGAATAGGGTATATCTTAAATTAATGTTTAAGTCTAAAACCTCAAATATTTATATGCTTATCAATTCATATGTTCCCTATTATATTCTTACCATTGTATCATACTTTAGATGAAATAAGTTATTCTGAGATACAATAATTATATACATTAAGAATGAACTTCTAAGGCTCTATAAGCAATAAATAAAATATTAAATTATTTAAAAATCATTTTATTTTATATTTTAGTGAAAAACTGTTACTTTTATAATGTCAATGCAATACATTAGACAGTATGTTTTATGATGTATGTGTGTGTTTTAGTAGTATATATTAGAAGTATTATTGTATCTTCAGCCATCAGT